AGATGTTTCAGGCTCCTGGGCTCGAATGGGCTCAGTTCCAACCACTGTGGCCATTTGGGCAGTGAACCAGTGGATGCAAGATCTCTGTCTCTCCTTCTTTCTGTAAATATGCTTTTCTGATAAAAATAGATACTTTTTTTTTTAACAAATAAAATGATGTCCACAGACATGCTTCCCACATTTCTGATTGTGTTTGTTCTTGGTTTGTTGTGCATGATTGTTGATCTAAGAAGGCAGAGAACATGTGTGGCCTCCAGTTCAGCCAATGCTACACAGCTCCCAAACTAAGCACCAAGACATCCCAGGGTACCGCTGAGAACCCACGGAGCACTCTGGCATACTTCACATTTTCACAAGAAACACTGACATTTATTGGGTACTGCAAGAATTGCTATTATTAAGTTGCTTGGACATGAATACTTATAAAAAGAATGAAAAGGAAATAGTCGATATTTCTGTTGGCCCTGGAGCATCAGAGAAAAATTGCTGAAACAGTGTGGACACTAGACAAAGGGCCTGCTTCCTGACAACTGTTAAGTCTCTGGGAATCCATGTAGCTGTAGAGCTGTGAATTTTCTCCAAAACTGAGGAGATGAAACATACCACCAAGCTAAATTGATCAGTACAGGCTGTGAAAATGAAAGACATGGTCCAAATCCAAATCAAACTCAGATTTCTTGCTTGGAATTCTTTTTATCTCTCTGTCTCTTTTTCCATGTCTCTATATCTTTATATCTCTGTCTTGGTCTCTATATCATCTCTATCTATAGCAGCGCTACCCCTTTGCTGTCTGTGTTTCTGTTTGCATCTCTGACTATTTTTGTCACTGTGTCTTTCTCTAAAGAAGCATTTAGCTAATGAAGCTGTTGACAACCATCTTCTGAGCATGTGAGATTCAGGCTTTGGGTGAAGGAAAACCATTGAAGGTAGAGAGACAGAGCCACTAAATCAAGCCATGCCTCAAGTCTGATGCTTGTTTACACATGTATGTTTTTGATCCTAAATTTTAGTTTAAGCATATTTTTTTTGCCTTATTGCACTAACTAGGATCTCTAAAACAGATTTTTTAAAAAGGTGATGATTGCTATCTTTCTGACATTTGCCATTTTAGGAAGAGAGCTCTCAATAACTCACCATTAATTGTGATACTTGCTATAAGTTTGTTTTGTTTTTGTGAATTCTCAATTATCAGAGTAATGGAATTCCCCTTTATTCTTTCTTGCTATCTTGAATCTTGTCAGGTATTTTTTTTCTGTTGAAATGACTATATTCTTTTCCTGTAATGAGGCAAATGGCATGAATGAATTTATTTCAGATGGGACACTGCCCTTGTATTCCTGTAATTACTTAGTGGTAAAGTACGACCACCTTTACACATAACTGGGTTTGACTTGCTGTTACACAGCTGCAGAATTTTTTTTTAATCTTCTTTTAGAGAGATATTTATTTACATTTTTTTCTGTAATATTCTTGCCAGGTATCAGTGCTAAGATTATTTGACTTGTGCCTTCATTTTTGGTCCAGTAGAAAAACTTATTGGTAATATTTCCTTCCTACTATATTCAGAAAATTTTACCAATAAGGCAGTTTGGACTTGAGATTGTCTTCATGGGAATTTCTTTTTTTCAGTAGTAGATTTAATTCTCTTATATACTTCGTATCCAAATGGCACATGTCATGGCTTAAGGCTATTCAGATTGATGTCTTAACTTATGTCTGTGGGATCTGTTGTGATGTTCTCTGTTTCATTCTTAGTGTTGTAATTTGTGCATGCTCTTTATTAAAATGATGAGTCTTGATACGGTATTACCATTTTATGTAACTGATTTTTACATTTGCCTTTATTATCTCAGCCATTTAGTTTTCTTGATTATAGTAAGCTATTCTTTTCCCAGCTTCATGAGATTACAACTTAAATATTGCTTTTCTGTGTTTTTCTTTTCTCCTAAGATGCATTGAAAACTGTAGCATCCCACTGAGTAAGGCTTTAGCTACACTATTATTTGAGCTGCTGTTTTTGTTGAACTTGTGCCAAGAAGGAGAGGGAGAGAGAGGTGAACAGAAAGAGTATCTATCTGCTAATTCACACCCCCATAATGCCTACAACAGCCAGAGCAGGGTTGTGAAAAGCCAGAAGCCAAACCACTGCCGGTCTTTCTGGTGGGTAGTAGGGACCCCATCACATGAGCCATCACCTGCTGCCTTGCAAAGTCCACATCAGAAAGAAGCTGGGGAGGTGGACAAAAGATGAAGCTCCTTCCAATATTATCGCTTATTTTTGTGATATAATTTCTGCTTTGCATATTTTGTATCTCTGTAAAAATGCACACAGATTTTGGATTTTAATATTTCCAAAATGATGATGAAAAGTCTCCCATTTATCTCTTACAGTGCTACTTTTTTGTATAACTAAAGTAGATGTTTTCCATATTTTGACTTTTAACATGTATTCTTATCTTCAAATGTATCTCTCTCTTTTAAAAAGATTTACATGTTTTTATTTGAAAGGTAGAGTTAAAAACAGAGAGAGATCTTGCATTCCCTAGTTCACACCCCCAAATGGCTGAGATGGCCAGAGCTGGGCTGAAGCTAAGTCAGGAACCAGGAACCAGGAACCAGGAGCCAAGAGCCAAGAGCTTCTTCCATGTTTCCTACAAGGGCACATGGAGTTGGGCCTTCCTCTGCTGTTTTCTCAGGCCACTAGCAGGGAGCTGGGTTGGAAATGGAGCATCCAGGACACGAACTGGCTCCCATATTGGATGCTGGTGTTACAGGCAGATCATTAGGCTACTACACCAAGATGCTAATCCCCAAATGTATCTCTTATAAGTGGAATATAGTTTAATGTTTTGTTTGCTTTCTTTTTTTCCTTCAAGATTTTTGCTAACAATATTGTTAGTCCATGGAATATTTTAGTCCACTTAGATTTGTTTAAATCTCTGCTCTTCATATTTTTTCCCTCAATCAACTGTTATTTCTCCTTTCTTGCCTATTGTTGTATTTATTAGTTTCTTATTTTGTTTCATATATTAACTTATTATTTATTTTCTGGCCTTTGATAACTACCACAAAGATGATAACTCACAACCTTAGTACATGATAATATAAATTTATTGCTTTTAATGATTCCCAAATGATTCTAGGACCTAATAATTTTTTATTCCACTTACTTGTTCTCTATATTTAAATTATTCTTATATGCGTTTAAATTCTTCATACATTTTAAAATCTGCAAGACATCATTTTCTGTTTTGCACAACAAAATATTCAATTAGACACACCCAAAATATTTATTCTTTCCTTTGCTTTTCGTGTTTTGTTTTTTTTTTTGTGAGTGTGTGTGTTTGATGTTATTTTAAAGATTTACCTGTCAGTATTGCAGTGAGAGAGTGAGTGAGACTGGAAGAATGAGAGAAAGAGAGATCTTGAATCTGCTGATTCATTCTCCAGGATAGCTCCACGGCTGGGCCAAGCTGAAATCAGGAGTCTGGAATCTTTCACATGGTGGCAGTGGCCCAAACACTTGGGTCAACGTTTTCTACTTTTCCCAGGCCGTTAGCGGGGAGCTGGGTTGTAAGTGGGGTAGCCAGGACACCAATTGACAGTCACATGAGGTGCCAGTGTGTGAGGTCACAGTTCAACACATTTTAACCTGCCTGGATATATATTTTATTTGTGACCATTTTTTTTTCTCTTGGAGTAAAAGTCTTACATATGCTATTAAAAAAAGTTTTATTTATTTTCATTAGAGACAAATTTTTACAAAGAGAAGGAGAAACAGAAAGATTTTCTATTTGCTCATTCACTCCACAAGTGACTGCAACAGCTAGAACTGAGCTGATCCAAAGTGAAAGGAGCCAGGAGCTTCTTCTGGGTCTCCCACACGGTTGTAGGATCCCAAGGCTTTGGGTCATACACTACTTTCCCAGGCCACAAGCAGGGAGCTGGATAGGAAGTGAAGCTGCCAGGACACAAACTGGCGCCCATAAAGGATGCCCGTACTTGGAAGTGGAGGACTAGTTGGTTGAGCCAACCTGCCAGTCACCAAATCATACATGATTCTTGAGGTTCTGGTCTACTGTCAGTCCAGTATGTTCAGGTGAGTTTTTGTTCTCCTAATGTCTTTATTTCAGTTGTTTTTTAGGGACTTTGTGAGGGAGAAGTGCAACTTTAGAAAGCAGCTGCTGTATCTTTATCTCTTTTAGTCATGTCACATCGTTGTTTTTTGGTTTCAACATTTTTATTGAGAAGTTAACAAATTGTTTATTCTGTGACAGAAAAGTTTCCCTCTGGCTGTTTAAGATATTATTTTTATTTTTATTTTTAAAGAAGTTTTACTCTCATGTACCAGAAATATTTATTCTTTGTAGTTTTGCTTCTTGAGATTTGTAGAGCTTCGCGTCCTGTGCTTGCACATCTTTCACCTTTTGGAAGAGTCATTTTTTATCTCTTAACATTCCTCCAGTTTGTTCCCTCTCCTGACCCGGGTGCTCTTTGTGAGATTCCAAGTACATGTTTCTTAGACATGTTCACTGAGATCCATATGTATTTCTTACCCTGTCCTATATCTTTCTTCTCCTCCTTCTTCTCCTTCCCTCCTCTTCTTCTGATGTTCTTTGGTGCTGATGCTTCACGCTTTGGCTTCTTTTGGCTTTTAATCTCTTGTATATTGCCTCCAAGATAAATTTTTGGTTTAAATTCTCATTTTTCTTTAGTTTTTATGAAATCAGTGTCTTTTAAAATTAAATTTTATCATTTTTCTTCTGGTTCATTAAATGATCATATTATCTTAAAGTCATTAAGTTCTGTTACAAAATCATATAGAGATCCTTTCTTCTCTTGATTTTTACCTATAAGATCCTTTTCTTGGCATGTTCCATACTTATTTGTACTGAACTTTGGACATTGTACAGTTAAAAAGATCAGAGAGACTCTAAAATGTGTGATGTTTCTCCTAATATGCTTTGCTTTTTCCTCATGGATAGCATGAGGCCTGATGATTATAATCAGGAAGTGAGTTCTGCTTACATGAAGTGGGGGACCACCACCTTTTGGTGCAGCTCTCCCAGTCTTCCACATGGAGGCCTGGTAAGTTCACCAAAGCCACAACTTCTGCCTAGTCCTAAACTTTATAACTCTCCCTACCCCAACCCTGCTCAGTAAAAACCAGCTTTCTCTTAGGGAATGGAGGGGCTTCATTCTTAATTTTCCAACTCAAGAAGCATCAGTGTTTAGCAGGTATTCAAAGGGGGTTCATTTCATTATTTTTGTTCATCTCTTTTCAATCGAGAACCAGACTTCCACCTCCCTGATTTTTTAGTTCTAACTTTCCCAGATCATTCACATACTCTGCCTGGCGTAATTCTTTCCCCATAGCACACTGTCCAGGCATTTCTTAAATTCTAGGTCCCTCCCTGACCCTCAATTGGCAAATTCTAGGGCCCTCCCTGACCTCGAATTGGCAAATTTTCCCAGGACAAAAGCAACTGCATGTTCTCAGCTGTTTCTCCCTGTGACTGCCTTTTCTCCAGCATCTTTAGAAGCCTGACCTCCTTCCTCCCAGACATCTTGAATCGCCAGTACACGTCAGTAGGCATTAGTGTAGCTCATATACTTTTGTCCAGGTTTGCTCAGTGGGCAGGTACATTGGTATACTCTAAGTGATTCCATCAGAATCTACACTTGATCTTAGCCAAAAGGCTGGGAAGCGATTCCCATCAGAATCTAAAACAGAAGTCTCTCTCTTTCCGTTAACCTTAACCTTACACTTTGTTGCCAAACCATGTTTTAAGAGAGCACAGTATTGGACAAGGCATGTCACCAATAAGTAACATTAGCAATTAACATTGTATCCTTAATGTCAGACATATGGAGGGAGTCTAGAAACAATACAGAAGACATCTAGAGGTCATTTTTCCTATGAGGAAAGATTATGTTATTTTGTTTTTGATATTTGCAGTTCAAACAAAACCTTTTAAAAATGATTTTGAAATTACAAATAATATAATAAAATCTGTTGCTGGGAGGAGGCACTATGGTATACAGAGGCATAAAGTGGGTGATGTTTTTGCCTCCATGGGCCTCCTCCTGGGATGAGGGACAAGGAAATCCCCGACCAGTTGCAGGAAGTGAGACAGTCTTCTGATGTGTGGGAGGGATGCAGTGCTCATCCATTAGCATGGCAAGAACAGTGTGAGAGTCTGCCATCCTCAGTAAGGGAAAAACCAAGGAATTGAAAATGCCTCCCAACATAGACTAGGTTGTAATGGAGACAAGCTCCTGGGATATAGATTTAAGTGTCAGATTTAAGTGCAAGGAATAAGTGTTAGGATAAGCATTTCTAGTATGTGTAAATAGCCAGGAACGTAGCTGGGAGATGTTCAATTTGTCATGAAGTATATTCTTCCGAGTGTAATGCAGTCAGTCCTGTGTCTCCTCTCATTCCTCTTCATAGTGTTCCCAAATACACATTCAGAACTAACGTCACAGTAATAGGAGGGTCTGGGGCAAGCCTAGGTCTGTTAGCAGACAAGGAGACGTTTGAGGTTGACAAGTCATCAGCTTACTGGTTGGTCCCTCAACTCATTGTGTTGATATTTACAACAAGCACCTGCCACAGATGTCCTCTGGCTTCTCCTGATCGCTGCTGCCTTTCTCATAGTTAAAAGCCTTCGAAACTTACTTTTCTGGCTTTCTTCCCTGCCCCTGCTCCCTTGCCCGGACTTGAACCCCAGTCACACTGATCACTACAGTGATCCCCTCTTTCCCCAGAGGCTCTGAATCCCATCGGCTTCAGCCAACAGCAGCTCGTGCACACTTTTCCTTGTCATTGCTTCCCAAGCAATAGAGCCTAACGAGTATTTATGTGGACTGCATATGATATCAGGGATCCCCCTCTCTCTTTTCTGTTCCCTTACAAAGAAAAATCACCAAAAAATACTTACATGTTTACATGTTTCCTGTGTTCATATTTACTTTCAATTGCATTTGGTTAGTGTACTTGTCCTAGAAGAAAACTAGCACTTTTTTTTTCTGCTTCTTTTCAGGTCATTTTAAGGACTTCCACCCTGTGCCCACCCTCCACCCCTGCCGAACTGCAACTCTTGCTTGGGAATAATCCACCTGTTGGGATCTCTACAGTTGCTGCAATGATGCTCAAGCTTACAAACTTCCTAACAGATCGGCCCAACAGAAGTGTGGCTTTCAGTGATTGATCACCCAGGTACTTAGAACACTTGGAAATATCACAGCACCTCTACTAAAGCAGAGGAGAAGGACAGGAATATTAACTCAGAATCAAAACCCATTTCCAAATAGCAACAGAAAGATCCCTGTATTGTGGGGTAGGCTTTGCTTCCCAGTCCTTTATCTGTCACTTTGTGTTTGAAGAAAGAAGGCAGCCCTGCAGTGTGGGACTGTCCTTGGCACATGCACGTGCACACACACACACACACACACACACACACACACACACACAGGAGCTTACAGCCTCTTTGGAATTGTTTGTTTCATTTTGAAATATGTTAGTTCTGTTCCCTCTTTTACACGTGTATTTTCCGTATGTTTTCTCTCTTAGCATTTAAAAGAGAATACTTTTAGTAATTGCTTCCAATCAATCCTCAGTAATTTTATATAAATCAGGTTTTCTTTGTAAGATTTATTTATTCTATTTGAGACAGTCATAGAGATGGGAGAAGAAAAGAGGAGAAGAGGGGGTAGATATCTAGGCCAGGCCAAAGCTAGGGACCGGAAATACCATCTATGTGGCAGGGACCCAACCACTGGATCTGCCACCTGCTTCCTCCCAGGGGGCCTGTTAGCAAGAAGTCAGGTCGGAAGCACAGAACAGCATGGCTTTGAGCCAGGCACTCTGATGCGGGATGCACACTTGCCAGGCAACAGCTTAACATGCTGTGCTGCAGTTTGCCTGTCTCCCAGTTGCTCTGTGTGTGTGTGTGTGTGTGTGTGTGTGTGTGTGTGTGTGTGTAGCAGGGCTTCCATGAAATCGGCTTCTTTCTGGTCCGCACTGGACAGCAGATCCACAATCACTCCATTCTCAAAATACCCACCTCCTATGGGTTAGTTCTGCTTTCTGGCTTCTTTGGTGCTTCTTTCACTGTTCCCTCTTCTCTACTCCACATGGATAATGCTCAGCCTTCATGTGTATGCTTAATTTCTATTCATTTTGGGTTAGAGTTAACTTCCCCAATTCAGGTTTTTTGTTATGTTTTGTTGTTGTTGTTTTCAAAGAGCAAGTTATAGGGACCAGCACCGTGAGTTAAGCCTCTGCCTCTGAGGCTACTATCCCACATGGGCCCCAGTTCACATCCTGGTTGCTCCACTTCCCATCCAGCTCTCTGCTAATGTGCCTAGGAAGCAGCTGAGGATGGTCCACAGTCATTCGGACTCCTGACACACATGGGAAACTGGGGCAGAGCTTAAGATTCTTGCCTGCTGCCTGGCCCAGCCCTGGATGTTGCAGCCATTTGGGGGATGAACTAGTGGATTTAAAATTCTGTCTCTTTTTCTCCTCTCATTGTAACTCTGCTTTTAAAATATGTAAGATAAATAAATTAATTTTAAAAATTCTAATCTTTTTTTAAGATTTATTTTTATTATTTTTTTTTATTGGAAAGGTGGATATACAGAGAGGAGACACAGAGAGGAAGATCTTCCGTCCGATGATTCACTCCCCAAGTGAGCACAACGGCCCATGCTATGCTGATCCGAAGCCAGGAGCCTCTTCCGGGTCTCCCACATGGGTGCAGGGTCCCAAAGCTTTGGGCTGTCCTTGACTGCTTTCCCGGGCATGCAAGGCAGGGAGCTGGAAGGGAAGCGGGGCCATATGGGATCCCGGGCATGCAAGGCGAGGACCTTAACCACTGCGCCATTGCGCCGGGCCCAAAAATTTTAATCTTTAACTGTCAACCTGAAGTCACTTAATATGGACCCACATCAGCTCCTAAACTTAGCAGCATCTCTGATCCAACCACCTTCTCAAGATAAGCCCTTCCTGAATGTGTGATTGTTATGTTTTAATTGAATAAAACACTAAATGACCTCTGTGGGCACTTCTTAAATGGAAAAGTGGAACTGAAAGATGTCTATTTTGGTGTAAAAAATTGAAATACATACACAGATTTTAACTGGAATTCTAAGAGGAGGAGCTGGCGTGGGGAGCTGGGCTTCCCATGTGGCAGTTTAACGCACTACACCACAGCACTCACCCCCTGTGGTATGAATTTCAGATCATTTCAACTTGGCATTGCAGCCAGCACAGCTGCCATTGCCCAACTCTTTCCCATTTGCCAAGAGATTCCAGTGTTTGCCTCAGTCAGCAGTCACTGTCAGCCTTATCAGGACTGTAGAAAACTTTGCTATGGCTCATTTAGATGGTGCACTTTGACTGATTCCTTTTTGCACATCTTTTTTTATCCTTCTTAGAGTTAGCAGTCTCCTCCTTTACATTTTCATATTCATTTCTTTATATCTATCACTATTTTTTTTTCAGATGCCATAACATATATCTCAAGCAGCTAAAAGAAAAAGTTATATTGCCTAAAGCAAATCACAGGAAATCAATCAGTCCCCCTTTTCCCTTCTTGGGAGACTCCTCCCCCACGGCTTTGAATCCTTCTGCTCACAGAAGGTTTAGGAATCCAGGGCTGCTGTGCCGTGGTCATTCTGGAACATTCTTCCAATAGCTCCTGGGGATTTCCTCAGTCTCTTCCATCTTCTGTTTCCCGGATGTTAGGCCTTCCTATTTTCCTTGTTTACTTCCTCTTTTGTGTGTGTGCATGTGGTTAGAATATTCTCCAGTCATTTCCTGAGAAACAGCAAGAGATAGACGATAAAACGTGCCAGCCTTTGCCTGTCATCATCACTTGGGTGCACGGTTTCAGGCCGGAAATAATTCTGTCTCCGATTTTCAAAAATATTTTCTCCTTTGCTTTCTACTGCCCTGTATAGTTATTGGGCAGCTTTGGGCTGTTTGGCGACACAGAAGCAGTTGCTCTGCACTTGTTTTGTCTTTTGGGGCAAGATTTTAGGATCTTCTCCTCTTTCTTGTGTTCCTGAGTTTCGCTTCATTTGTGGCTTTACATGGAATTTTTCCATGTAGTAGCCCCTTTCCTTTCAATCTGGAAAATCTTAGCCTTCAATCTGGGAAAAGTAAAAATTTTTTATTTGAGCACTTTCTCCCATCTGTTCTCTCTTTCCCATGGAACTTGCATTTTCTTTTTTTTTTTTCTGATAAAACTTTTCAAATATGCTTATTTAATTTACTTGAGTGTATAAGAAGTGAGTGGCAGAGAGGGAGGGGGATAAAGAGAGATCTTCCATATGCTTTTGTACTCCCCAATTCGCTACCATAGCCACTGCAGGACCAGCCAAAAGCCAGGGGCCTGAAATTCCATCTTGGTCTCCCATGTGGGTTTCGGGGACCCAAACACTTGGGCCACATTCTGCTGCCTTCCCAGGCATATTAGCAGGGAGTTGGACTAGAAGAAGAACTGCCGGGACTCTCACTGGAATTCTGAGATGAGATATAGTTGTCATACATGGTGGCTTATGCCACTGAGCCACAAGGCTAACCCTGAAATGTTTCAATTTTTAATCATATCTTTGTAGAGTGATCCAGGACAAAATGCTCATGTACAGTAGCCAGCTTCTCTACCTCCTTACCTCTGCGGGGAAAGAAACCTGGGGGAGAAATCTGTGAATAAGATATGTCACCCCTATTCAGTTTTATGTTACTTAAGTCTTGCTTTCACAGGACTTTGTGAATTCAGATATTCTTTTGTTTTATTGCCTTTCTTCATGGCTGCTTAACACCATAAAATCAACGCAGTGTTCATGGTGCCGTGATTATTAATAGAATTGCCTGCCATGATGGCCATGAGTGTGCCTCAGTTTCTTGATTATAAAATGCAGTGGCATAGAGCCAACCTCCTAGTGTCATTGTAAGCATTTGATGATTACAACGCACACCTTGGGGGGCCCAATACGGCACATGCTGAGAGTTCCAGGAAAGCTCTCTGCGTCACTGTTCATGATGAGGGGACCAAGGCACAAACCACTTGTCCAAGGTGGTACAGCTAGTAAGTGACACAGCTGGAGCCAACTGTGGCTATGACATACACATTTCTGTGTTTTTGTTTTACATCTTTAAAAAATTGCGAAGAGAAACAGAGATCCTTCACCCACTGGTGAACTTTCCAAATACCCACAACAACTGGATCTCTGCCAGGCCAAAGTCAGGAACCTGAAACTAAATCTGAGTCTGTCATATGGGTGGACCCAGTTCCTGGAGCTACTCCCACTCCCTCCCCCCGGGCTTGCATTGGCAGCAGAAAGCTGGAGTCAGAGACAGAGTCAAGTCTTGAACCAAGGCACTCCACTATGGGGGGCAGCCATCACAAGCAGCGTGTTTGCCATCGGGCCAAGCTGCTCAGCCCACCCCAATTCTTTTATTCTGCCAGAGAGAGCACTGCCATCTTTAAATCCACGTCCATTCTCTCTACCCACAGGCACAACTTCCTCATAGCCAAACTAAAGAACAGCAGTGTATAAGGCCAAGGTTGGCTCATCAGCATCTGGTTAAAGATTAGGTGTCTAAATTCTTGATTCCCCAAAAGAAAAGATTCTTTCTATTTGTGATGGCCCAGGTAGTCGACCTGGAATTCAGTCCTTTATAGCTCTCCTGAACTAGCTCCACACTGTACCAAGAGCTGTGAGGGCAACACATCTTCCAGGCGCTCCAACCTCACTCTTGGGAGCTAATTCCTTGTCCTGCTCAGGAGTGTGGAATACTTTAGAGACCAGAGGGGGGCGTGACAGGGGAGCTTGATGCATAGCTTTCACCTCTAATTTGGGACCTGGAAAATGTTCCTCTTTGTTTTATTTAAACAAACGTGGACACCCTTTGGGCAGGCCCACCACAATAGACACATTTCAGACTTGAAGTGCTAAGATTTCTCTAATCAAAAAGGCTTGTGGTTTTTCTTTTCACTACAGAAAACATCTTAAATCTTGGTAAATATAGAAACCAGGCCCCAATGGGGGTGGTGGGAAGAGTCATTCTTGTGGCCCACAGCATGCCCAGTGTCTCTAAAAGAGTCATGGAGAATACATTTTTGGGAGGAGGGGGAAAATAGCATGGATTTCAAAATTATCTTGATAGTTTGCACCAATATAAAGCCTTTTGAATTTAATTTTCCCATAAACTTTTTGAAATATCCTTTTTTAGTGTAGAAAGGCAGAAACTCAATATTTTAACATGTTGAGACTATGGAAATAAAAAACAAACAAAAAAGACGTACTGAAAATTTTAGTACTGTTCCTCTTTTCCTTGCCTTACCTCCTGCTTTCTCCTTGAAAACCCAGTTTCTGGGGTTAGCACCTTTCATAATAGTTTAAGCCTGTGCCTGCAGAGTTGGCATTTCATATGCGTGCTGGTTTAAGAGTACTGATTGCTTCACTTTCGACCCAGCTCCTTGCTAATGCTCCTGGGAAAGCAGGGGAAGATGGCCCACGTCCTGGGCCCCTGCTCTCAGAAGAAACTCTTGGCTCCTAGCTTTGGACCAGCCCAACTCTGGCTGTTGTGACTTTCTGGGGAGTAAACCAACGGATGGGAGATCTCTCTCTAACTTTTCTTTCAACTAAACACATGCAAATAAATAAAAAGAAAACCCCAGTTCCTTAGAACTGCCATTGTGATTCCTAGCCAAGAGTTCAAGAAGCCAGAGTCAGGCTGAAAGAAAGTCTTATCATTTCCTTGGTGTTTTACCATCTTTCTTATCTCTCAAAATTTACTTTAATGAGAATGGACTGGCCAGATCTAACAGATTAAAGAGCTGTATTAAAACTAGAGGGAAGAGAAGATGTTACCCGGATACCTGCCCTACTATGTGTCATGGTGTATCTAGACCAATCCCATACATTTCCTTGTAATTCCTTAAACCCAGTGGGGTAGTCATTGTTATTCTCATTTTTTTTTTTTTTGGTGAGAAAACGGAATCATTTAAAACTTGCCTAAGGTTACATGTCATATAGAAGAAAAGCTGCAATTAAACTCAGTGTTTTATTGACTCCTGGAGTGCACATTTGCACCTGTCACAGAACATTTTATGTGTAATGCCCTGGATCAGTCCTTTGTTTTATGAGAACACTGATCCTGAAACACACAGATGAACACTTCTTACTGGCTGTAATCTTGTAACCTCTCATCCATAATTCAGAGATCTCTCTGTCCCCTGCCCTCGCTTACCTCTTCTTGCTGCTATCCCTTCTTTCCCCGCCGTTGGTCCTGCTGCGTTGGGCAGGGCAAGGCCTAGAGCCTGGGACCATTCTATAAGCATTGTCTTGCATTCATTGATTTGAAACAGGCGTCCTGTGCCGAGATTCGGATTCACGACTGAGCCACCTGCAGCCGGTGGGTTCAGGCAGGTCTTTGCTAACTATCTGGGTTTCCAAACAACAGGGCAAGTAACATCCTCTGGTTCCTTTTCCTTCTCACATCATATAACTCTGTTCTGTGATCCTCTAGCTCCTCAGGCCTGGAATTAATCCGGTTAGCCCAAGAAAGCATCTGGTTTTACCAAGATACGCAAAGCCAGCAGCCACCCATCAACGGCCTGTAATCCTTTTTGTCAGTTCCAGGTGGCGAGTCCTCTCCACTGCTCCCAGACAGATGTGGAAGACTGATGTTTTCACCTTGACCTAAGAGCCCTGTTCTTGGCATATCTTCATTATACCCACTCATGCCAAGGGACAAGCAGAATCAAAGGCAAATAGAGGCAGATTCCCAAGCAAATCCTGTTCGTGGTGATTCATGAAGTTACACAATAGTCTTCCAAGTCCTTGTGACCCCAAGTCAGGAAACCTGGCTGAGTCCCTCACAGGAAAGCAAAACATTCAGAAAAATGCAATCCCAAAGGTAGGCTGGGGTGGAGGTGGGAGGGGTGAGAGGCGATAAAAGGAACTTTCCGTTTTTAATTCTAATGTCAAACAGCCATTCTGGTTTTTATTGTAGGGTAAACCATCATTACTCGTTGCAGTTTTGCCACAAATAATATATATTAAGGCATTTGGGGAGGAATTATTTGGAGAATGTATGTAATGCACTCTACTTAAAATTCACAGTAGGACAGCTATTTTAAGTACAATGGAATGCCATTTTCATAATTTCATAAACTATATTAGTGATGGATAGCTACTTTAAATTTACATGCAAGCTATGTAAATGGCCAGAAATGATTTTCATTATCCCCAGTGGCAAGCAGTTTGGGATATGAACCTAAGTGCAAACATGGACCTATCATTTATAGTTTAAATTAAAGTAAAAAACAATGCTAATCAATCATTGCATGTAAAACCACATCTGCTGGGGAAAGACACTGACTTGCTAAGATTTATTTTTTAGGCTTGGAAAATACATGATCCACCATGCTAGCTGTGAATGATCAATCAGTGCTCAGGAAATATTGGCATCATTGTTGCCAAGTGCAGTAGGAAGTATGGGGTCACTGCTGACGACTTAGCTCCTCCCGCATACAGGAGGCAATAAAGACAACAGAGAACGAGGCCAGAAAACAACTTCACATACTGATTCTAGAAGAGAGGGGAGTTTCCAAAAAGTTCATGGAAAAAAATAAATGAGTATTAAGAAGAAGCTATGCAGGAATTTTGTAGTTTTGCTCCCAAATTGATAGTTTGGTTTTGCTTTGTTCCATGAACTTTTGGAAGAGCTCTTATATTTCTATAGTTTTTTTGTAAAGGCTTCTCACTTAAGCTTTAAGATCACAGAAGTGGTATCAAAGTTGATATGAACACAGATACAACCTTCCTAGAATCCTGTTTGTAAAACAGTGTGGAATTCTGTTGCTTTCTCTGTAATAACAATAAGAACAAAATTCACTTAGGTTTTCATGATAAATGTAGTGATTGGATGACAAGTTAAATAATATTTTGAAGTAATTATATATAATATATAATATATGTAACATATATTATATACACATATACTAAAGATTTATTTATTTATTTGCAAGGCAGAATGAAAGGCAAAGAGAGCTCTTCCACCCACTGGTTCATTCCCAAATGGCAGCAATGCCTTGGGCTGGGTCAGGCCAAAACTGGGAATCCAGAGCTCCATCTTCATCTTCCCTGTGGTGGCAGGGGTCTAAGTACTGAAGCCAGCCTCTCCTGCCTTTCCAGGTACTTTAGCAAAGAGCTGGACTAGAAGTGGAGTCCAAACTCAAATGGGAGCTCATATGGGAGGCCGGCATTGCAGGAAGCAGCTGATGTCACAATGCTGGCCCCAGTAATCATATGCTTTCACACTGCTAATTTTCCCTAGCAATCTAAGATAGATTTATGAATTGTTTTGACCAGTAGTAAATCATAGTTAAGCTCTAATTTGATTCCTAATCATTAAAAACATTCATTTATAAGACATGTGTTTCCACTTAATTATTAAGCAGTGTTTTCGCTGATTGTAAAGTTGAGAATTTTTTTGAAAAGAAAAAAATACATATGAAATTGAATGTTCACTTAGCTTAGGCGATTAATTCACAGTTTGTTCTTATTTGCATTATGATCTATAATACATAAAAACTGAAAAGGGGCCATGTGCTGTGGTCTCTGAGCACCTGTATCCCATATGGGCACCAATTTGAGTCCTGGCTGCTTCACTTCTTATCCAGCTCCCTGCTAATGGTCTGGGATGGTCCAGGACCTTGGAATCGTGCATTCATGTAGGAGATCAGGAAGAAGCTCCTGGCTTTAGATTGTCTCAGCTGTGGCCATTGTGGTCATCTGGGGAGCAAACCAGTAGATTAAAGGTCTCTCTCTTTCTGTCTCTCATCTCACTGTAACTCTGTCTTTCAAATAAAAGTAAAATACATGTATTTTTAAAACATGGAAAGGAATAAAGCATTCTTACTATATACTGTTCACCACTAAGACCAACCCCCACCAAGTCCACACCACCTGCCACAAATGCATGCAATAGCCAGAACAGGACTGAGGCCAGAGTCACGTGCTTGGAACTCAGTCTAAGTCATCCTTGTGGATGTCAGGCACTCAGTTACTTGAACCACCACCGTGACCTCCCAGAGTCTGCACTGGTGGGAAGCTGGAGTCCGGCGCTGAAGCCAGGAAGTGAATCCAGGCTCTTTGATGTGGGATGCGGGCATCTTAACCACTGGGCTGCCATCTTTATGAGTCATTCCGTTTTCTGCAGTTTTTACATTGACCAACTTTAATTCCAGCCAGAATGTGATGTGTCCATGCCAAACTCAGTAAGAAGTATTTCATTTGCTACCAGTAAAAAAATATTATGTAGTACTGAAAGTTTTAAATAATTTCTCCCAGGTCCAACATTAAATGGGTCTGGGTTTCATTCATTCTTTTATCCCATCTTCAAGCCAATAAACAGCCTCTCTGAAGACTTGTTTGACATAAGCCGCAAAGCTCAGTTACGATGGGGTTACCAAGACAAATATAATACAGGCCCACTTCTTGGGAAGTCCACTTGGGAGGTTAATGACTTTGCTGCTGCTGTACAATGGTTTGGAAAGACAGGAACCTACCCCCCTCACACATGCCCCACTCAGTCTGTCTGCCTGTGGCAATACTTACAGGCATGTGTCTAGGGCAGGGAGTGGCGGATCGGATGGGGGCTGCCCTTCCCCACATGTGGCAAGCAGGATTCCTTTAGTCATCATCTTGCCCAGCCAGCAGGCAGGAGGCATTCAGGACAAGAAAACTACCATTGGGGAGGTGACCTGGAAACCATACAATGGGTCATCTCCACCCACGCCTCCCAGGAAGGCGCTCAGTAACCCAGAGGCCACAACAGGTAATGCAGACTCCAAGTGAAGAGCCAGTTGCCTGGCTTTGATAAAGTTCCAGAAGCCAAATATCAGTGCATCTGACACCATGGACTGATTTCAAAGGCCTTGTGTTACAGAAAACAAGTCAATCACTGCGGGGCCCATACCAGGTGATTGTAGCATGCGAACTCTAGGAAAGACACAACTACAGCACCAAATGGGCCAGGGTCCTGGCAAGGCAATCACCTACAAAAGGACAAAAAGGAATGCTTCTCTGTTGCAGAAATGTTCTAGATCTCAATTGTAGCCAGACAACCATCTATAGCTGACAGAAATGACCAAACTCTCCTCTAATGTGAGTTAGTAGGTATTAGTGCTGTTATGCTGTTATTGCTTCTACTGTGGTTAAGACCTTGAGAAAAGTTCATAGAATTCCAGGTAAGTTAAAAAAAAAGGGGGGGGGGGGAGAGGGAGCCCCACTGGTTAAAGTTGAAATTCTTGAACCAGAAGATGAACATTGCCTTTACTTAGTATACATGACTTTTTATATTAAAAAAAGTTGGCGGGCCCGGCATGGTGGCGCAAGTGGTTAAGGTCCTCGCCTTGCACGCTCGGGATCCCATGCGCCGGTTCTATCCCGGCAGCCCCGCTTCCCTTCCAGCTCCCTGCCTGTGGCCCGGGAAAGCAGTCGAGGACGGCCCAAAGCTTTGGGAACCTGCACCCGCGAGGGAGACCCGGAAGAGTCTCCTGGCTTTGGACCGGCATAGCATGGGCCGTTGCGCTCACTTGGGGAGTGAATCATTGGATGGAAGATCTTCCTCTCTGTCTCTCCTCTTCTCTCTATATCCGCCTTTCCAATAAAGAAAATAAAAAAAAAAATAAATCTTTAAAGAAGTTGGCAAGTGCAAGTATTAATCACGATCATCTGTAACAATTGCTCCACAAACCACCTAAAAGCTCAGCAGCCTGGCCAAGGCACTCAAACAAGACAACGTTCTTACAATGCCACAGCACTGTGGTCCCGAGGGTCAGTTTTTTTTTTTTTCTATGAAAGTGATTATTAACTTGGCTTTTCCAGAAGGCAGAATCCAAGGCTTGTTTAGGATTTATAGCCTAGAGGGCAAAACAGGGAAGCCAAGTTGATGCAGGAAGGTGTGGCTGAGTTGGCTACAGCGTAGTACCTCTGATTGCACTATCCTACAGGTGTGTCCTCTGAGAATGTGGTCAGACTGTCTCTCAAACATCAGTCCAAGGGGAAGAATGGACAAGACTTGACCTACTGGCCTTCACATCCCACTGATTCAAGTCTCACCCCACTGAGGGTCCACTCTGCATACTTCAGAGTTGGGCATGACACAGCACGCTGAGGACTCCAAACTGTGCTGTGCACAAGTATCAGAGCCCTGGACAGATCCTGGACAGGGCCAGCAGTGGGCAGCCAGCAGGACTGCAGCTGGAATCAGGCAAGCAAGGCTGAGAACATCCCAGGTTAACCCAAGAGGTGAATTTGCAATGAGTACACATCTCTGTGTTTGCCTGTGCCTTCTGGACCACAGCGATAGGGTTCACAAAAATGGTTAGCCTAGCTGGTCCTAAACGTGTGGCTTTTGTGTTCTTTGAGTTTCTTCCACTAAGATTAGTTAAACAGAAAATGGTATGCAAAGCTACTTCAGAACATGAAATGAGAAGATGTTCAGTTTCAGTTTGCTGCAAAAATTTTTACAACCCATGCCTTTAAAAAAAATACAGATTTCCCCATGAGCCTTTGAAGACCTTCTTAGTTGCTAAGTGGAGAGGTTAGGAACCATTGACCTAGGAGACATTCTGGTCTTCTGCTGGAATCACCAGCCTTTGTGAAGTTTCCTAAGCCTAATTCAGTGACAGAGAAACTGAACCCAGTTTGGTAACTGTTTTTTTTTTTTAATTTA